AATAGATAATAATATATATATATATATATATATATATATATATATATGTATATATATATATATATAAATAAATATAATATATATATTTATATATTTATATAATAAAAAATAATTAATATATAACATTAAAAAAAAATAAAAAAATATTACTACTATGTAAGAAAGCATTTTAACATGTGTAAGAATTCGTTCTATTTAAGATTAAGAAAAAATTCTTGAATGCCATGATGAAAAACATATTATTATTAAAAGAACAAATGAGTAGTTTTAATTTGGTAATAAAATATAATAAATGAAAGCAATAAAAATATTATAACTAACATTATAATTATAAAAATATTATAAACTTATTTAATAAAAAAGAATTGAATAAATAAAATCCATATATGATTATATAAATGCCTATTATATATAAATAAAAATATTAATACATATTAATAAATATTTTATATTAAATAAAAAAAAAAAAAACAAACAAACAAAGAAAAGATATTTGATGAAACCAAAAATACTGAATAAATATTTAATTATTTTTCACAAAATATCTTAAATTAATGTTATGAAGGCAAAAACGGTAAAAATAAAATAAAAAAAAACAATTAAAAATAAATAAATATAGTTTGTATATTCGCATATGGCCAAACATCTTCCGGAAAAACGCATACTATGAAAGGGAATAAATAAAATCCAGGTTTAATACCTTTAACTTTAAATTATATATATAAAAAGCAAGTATTTTTATTAAAATATTCATAAAAAATAAGTTTCTTTAATTTTTTTTTTTTTAAAAATAAAATAAAAATAAAAACAGACTCACTAAAACGAAAATTAAACAGAAATAAAATTTAATTTTTAGAAATTTATAACGAAACATTAATAGATTTATTAAATCCAAAAGAATAAAATATAGAAATCCGTGGAACTACAAAAGGCATATTTACCTAAAATCTAACCCAAAATACAGTCTCTAGTTTAAAAGAAGCCTAAGACCTTTATAATATGGGAGAATCTAACCGAAAATTTGGCGAAACAAATTAAAATGTACAATCAAGTAGATCCCATGTAATTTTCAGAATAAATATGGAAATAAGAGACACTAAAAATCCTCTTAAAATCCTTTATTCGACTTTAAACTTAATAGATTTAGCTGGATCAGAAAATATAGGTAGATGTAAAATAGATAAAGATTTTAAAAGTAAAAACGAGGGTTTAAATATAAATAAATCATTACTCGCATTATCAAATGTGATTAATAAATTAGGATAGAATTAAGGATAATATATAAATTTTAGAGATTCTAAATTGACAAGATTATTATAACCTTGTTTAGGAGGAAATTCAAAAACAGTAGTTATTTGTGCAATAAATCCTTGTTTTGTAAATTATTAAGAAACAAGGGATACACTTAATTTTGGGAAAAATGCGGGGGCGATTAAAAATTATATTAATATAAATGAAAAACAGGAAAAAAACTATATTTAATTATAAGATTCAAATTAAAAAGAAATTAATAATTTAATGGTATTTTTTTTAAATAAAAAAAAAATAATATATAAAACATTTTTTTTTTAATAGGAAAAAAATAAATTAATAATGGAAGAAAAAAATAAAATAATATAAAATCAAAATTAGTAAATTTAATAGCTTATTGAATCAGAAATTTCTTATAAAAATAAATTAAGTTTACTTTATGATGAATTTTTTGATTTAAAAAGTTAATATGCTTCTTTGTAAAATTGGAATAATATTTTAAAAGTTAATAATGATGAGTATATCTATATTTTTTTTTTTTTAATTAATAATTTATTATTATAAATAAAAAAGATTAACTGAACTTGTTTAAAATATATCAAATTAATAAAAAAATAATAAAATTTAATAAATAAATTAAGAAAGAGATAAATTAGAAGATTAACTTAATTATTTATTAGATTTAAATAAAAAAATGCATGAGGAAGGATTAAATTTAACCAATTAAGTTAAATAATTAAAACATTAACTACAACAAGCGTATAATATTTATATATAAATATATATAAATCAATATATGTATATATATAATTTTAAGTTTATAATTATATATATCAAAAGTTATGAATAAGAAAAAGAAACAAGTCATAATATAGAAATAAAAATACATTCTAATAATGATAATACTTAAACTTAAATTTAATTCTATTCATTAACTAAATAGTTATAATAAAATATTCTAATAGAAGAATTATAGGAAAAAATAGCTTATTTTGAAAAATAAAATGTCTCTCTTAATTATAAAGTTAATTAATTATAATAATAAATTATAGATGAAAAATTATAAAGGAATGATGATTCTTAATTTTTTGATTCATCGTATTTTATTAAATATATATTTATATATATATATATATATATATATATTTATATTTATATTTATATTTATATTTATATTTATATTTATATTTATAATTATCTTTTTTTTTTAGAAATAAATCTTTTTGCTCTGATATGAGTAGTTTTGATAATAAATTTAAAAAGTTTATTTCTGAAGTAATTTTTTATTTTTTAAATTAAATTTAATATATTGATATTTTTTTTTCTAATAGAATAATACTTAGAAAAAAATAAATAATGATACTGATTATAACTTTTTGAAAAATTAACTTAAAGCGTTTACCTAAAAAAATCGTAATTATTAGAAAATAACTGATTAATAAAAATATAAACTTAATTAAAGTATATAATTATATAAAATTTGAAATATTTTAACTTTTTGTATAAAAAATAAAATAATAGAAATAGATGAAATCAAATAATTAAATAAATTAATAATTAAATTAGAGAACAGATTATTATAAAATGGAATAACAACAGATTGTATATTTGATTGAATATTTTTTTTATTTAAAAAAAATATATAAATAAAATCTGTATTTAAAACTAATTAATTATTAAAAATAAAATATAGTCTTTTTAAAAAAAAATTAAATAAATAATTTTTATATTAATATATAAATTTAAATGATAATTATTATTAAAAATCAAAATAAAATCAAAAATTATCAAAAAATTTAATATAATAATATTAATATTTAAAAATTAATGATAAAAATAAAAATAATAATAATAATAAAAAATAATATTAAAAAGTAATATAAATATATGTATATATATATATATATATATATATATATATAAAAATATATATATATATATATATTTACAATTTATATATTTTTATTTATGTTTTTATGTTTTTTTTTATTTTTTTAATTAAAATCAAAAAAAAATTATATATAATATTGAAATTTAAAAAATATAAAAAATTATATTTTTCTTTTACATTAAATAAAAATTAAATGTTAAAAGAAAAACAAAATAACTTTTTATTTAAACATATACAAAAGAAACATATTAGTTAATTTTTAATGATAAAAAAAAATTAATATCTAAATATAGAAATTATATAATAAAATTAAATTAAAAATATAATAAAAAATAAAATTAAATGAAATATTAAATAAAAAAAAAAGAAATAATCATAAATACAAATAAAAAAAAATATATTAATATAATATATAAAATAAAATTAAGAAAATAAATAATAAAAAACATAAAAATAACCAAATTAAAATAAAAAAACTTAAATTTAATAAGTTTAAAAGCAATGAAATGATTATATAAAAAAAAGAAAATATAAATTAAATATTAATATAAAGAGATGTAAGAAAAAAGTAATAAATATATATATATATATATATATATATATATATATATATATATTTTTATATATATATATATTTATATTATTTAATATAATTATTTTTTTTTATATATATTAATTTTAATTAAATAAAAAAAATATTAAAATAATTTTTAAATTTTTAATAAATTTAATTTATAAATGGAAGTTTCTGAAACTGCATATGAATTTTCTAATATAATTTTAGAAGAATTTGCAGGACCATATCGAAAGAATATTTTAGAATAGTAAATTAATAATATAGAAGAAAAGTATTAAAATTTAGAATAATAAAAAAAAAATGATACTGATAAATATTCACTAAATTACGATTAAAAATTTAATAACATAAAAGACGATGAAGACAAATAAAAAGAACTATAAGATTTAATTAAATAAAATCCTTACTTATAAGCAATGGGATGCTCACATGATAGAAGAAAAGTAATTAAATATTTAGAAATATATATATATATATATATATATATATATATATATTTATATATATTTTTATATAATATATTTTATATAATTTTTATTTTATTATAGGAAAGAGAATTATATGAAAAATCTACAAAAGAAAAACTTGATAATGCTGAATTTTTTAAAAACGAAGGAAACAAAGCTATTAAAGAAAAAGAATATGAAAAAGCAGCATTTTTTTATTAAAAAGTTTTAATTTTTATTCTAAAAATAATTAATTATTAAAATCAATTAGGCTTTATTACATTTCGATTATACTTTTGCTGACACAGATATTGAATAAAAAAGATAAGATTTATTAACCGAATAATGTCATGTAAATATGAGTTTAACTAAATATTATTTAAAAGATTATGATGAAGCTTTAAGTTAGGCAAATTAAGCTTTAAAACTTAATCCTAAAAACATTAAAGCTTTGTTTAGAATTGCAATTATTTACTTGGAAAGAGATTTATATGATAAAGTTTAAGAAGTAATTCTTTTATTTATTATAATTTTTTTTTTTTCTTTAGAAAATTTAAGAAATGGAAAAAATCGAATCTAACGCAGAAATTAATAATTTAAAATAATAACTATAATAAAAAGTATATATATAAAAAAATAACAATATATAATTAATATTATTTTTTAGATTGAAAAATATCATAAAGGAGAGAAAAAGTTATATACAGAAATTTTTAATTCACTTAATAACAATAAATGAAAATAAAATTAAAAATTATTAATAATAAAAAATAAACATTAAAAAAAGTACTCAAATAAATACAAAAATATATTTACATTTTTTGTTTTGTTTTGTATAAAATATTTTTATTTCAAAATTTATAAATAAATTTTTAGACTATAAATTAGGCAAATTACTTTACAATACTTACATTATTAATTTATATTTATTTTTTCTATATAATTTATATCTATATTTTTTTATTTATTTTATAATTATACTTAAATTTTTAAATGATTATTTCCATTTATATAAAAAAATGTAATATTAATATTAAAAAAAAATATTTAATAATTAAAATGTTTTTTACACTAATAATTATATATTAAAAAGTATATTTTTATGAAGAAAATATAATAATTTGAAAAATTAATATATTTTGTTTAAATATAAAAAAAAATAGAGATTTTTCTTCATCTTAATTAAATAAAAATTTAATATTTAATAAACTTTTTTATTTTATTAAAAAATATATATTAATTTTATAATTATTTATATGTAAATACATGATTATATAAATCATTTATTTGTATAATAAATTTTAATAATATTTGAATTTTATAAAAAAATATAAAAAGATTTTTCATTTTAAACTAATATAAAGTTTATATTAAATTTGAAAATCTCCATTTTTATATTCAGTATTGAAATAATTGTTTTAATAAATAGAACATAAAAAAATTATTAATTAGGATAAATAAAATATTTATAAAATAAAAAATATTGTATTATAATTTTAATAAAAATATATTATGCTTATTATCTTCATTAAATTTAGTAATAGTAAAAAAAAAAGTGATATAATTATTAAAATTAAAAATATGAATAAAAATAAATATTAGTATTTAATATAGTATTTAAAAATAATATATATATATATATATATATATAATTATGAATATATATATTTTTTTTATAAATAATTTTCTTAATTTTATTTTTGTTTTTTAATATATTTAATTTTTATTTATTTTATTGTTTATGATTTTTAAACTATATTTTTTTAGTCTATATTTTGTAAATTTTTACTTCTATTTATTTTTTCTCTTTATATTTTTTTTATTTGTTTGTATAATAGATTATGAAGAGAAATCATTCTAGTTATTTTAAATTTTTCTCTATAATCTTATATGTTCTATAATTTTATTTGTTAGATTAATATTAAATTTGAATTTTATTTTTTTGGTATTTTAATCTATGTATTTTAAAAGATTTATTAGCTATTTTCAATCGTTTAAGTTAAAATATTTTTTTTATATTATTCATTCAATAGTTTTTAAGATAATTTCCAGCTAAAATTATTAATTCACCTTATATCATTTTGTTTAAAAAAGGGAATACATTTTTAATTTAATATTTTTCAGAATAACCTGCAGTTAGAATCATTTATATTTTTCCTAATATGTAGACAATCCATTTTTTAGGAAAGAAGTATTTTTTTAAAAAAATAAGGGGGATGCTTTCTAGAGGGCAGTATATATTTTTTAAAGATTTGAGTCATATTTAATAATATTTATTTTTTATATTTTAACTTAATAATCTATTAATTCTTTAAATTTTGTCATGTTAATTAATAAATCTTATATATATATATATCAAATGTTTTTATTATATATATAATTCACTTTTATTTTTCTTAATATAAAAGAAATTTCTCCTTTTTAAATTTATAAATATATAAATATTATTATAATTATTTTTAAATCTTTTTTTTGATAAATTTAATTAAATCATAATTTTTCATTTATATCTTTAATTTATTATTTTTTTTTTATTAAAAATAAGCAAAATTAAATTCAATATTTACAAAAAATATATAATTTTTATTTATTATATATTATTATATTTTTTTATTTTTAATATTTTATGTGTTAGAAATATATTTTTGAAATTTTTTCTTTAATTTAACTATGTTCTCTATTTTAATTATTATTATTAAGTATATCAATTTAATATTGTAAAATATTATTAAATTTATATTATTTTTCTTATTCTTCTATAATTAATGACAATTCAGAATAAATTTCATTAACTTAATTACATTAATAAAAATTATTTCTATTAAAAAAAAATATGTATGTATAAATAATATTTTTACATCAATTTAGTTAAATTAAATCATTAAATATAATACAAAATTTTATTTAATTAGCAGTTTAATAGTTAAATATATTTAATTTTATTTATTTTAATTTTTCAATAGAATTTCTTTTTGTGTTTATTATTTTTTTATTATCTTTGTTATGTTATTAATTTTTACAGTATTTTTATTTATAGATATTAAATAATCTAAAACAATTTTATTTATTAAATATACTATTTAAAGAGATATTTTATATTAAAAATAATTTTTATTAATGTTATTAGTTTGTAAAACAATATAATATTCATTAATTGTTTATTTTTATATAAAAAAATAAAATTAATATATATTAAAAAATTGTAAGGTTTACTCATTTTAATTAGTAAATTTAAAAATTTAGTTTCTTATTATATCCTATAAGAATTGAATTTCAAAAATAAATTTATATATATACAAAACTAAAACACATTTAAATTTCTATTAATTTTAATAAATCTTGAATTTAAATGATATTTTTACACTTTAGTATTTTAAATCATATATATTTTTGAAAATATAGAAAGTTAGTTTTGAAAATATAATAATTTCAAAAGAAGATAAGATATATAAGAATTTTATATATAAATGTATTTTTTTTTATAATTAAAATATAAAATTTAATTATTTAATAAAAAGTTAAAATTTCTAAATTAAGTTATCTTTTATTTAAATAAACAAGAATATTATAATATTTAAAATAATTTTAAATTATTAATTTATCAAAAGAGTGAGCTTTTCTAAGTTTTAATTGAATAAATGGCATACAAAAAATATCAATTTAGACTATTTTATTTTATATGTTTAATTATATAATAAATTAAATATTTTTATTTAATTAATTAAAAACATTAATACTCAATTAGACATATTATTTTAAATGTTAAAATTTTATATATCTTTATTTTTGATAATTATTTTTTTAATAATATTTCTTTTAAATATTTTTATAGGTTTTTACTTTAGTAAATAGTTTGATTTATATAGATAAATTGGATAAAATAATCACATTTATATTATTCTTAAGAATTTAATTAATTTTTAATAATAAATAATTATCATTATAAAAATGAATTAATTAAAAGAAAATATATTTATATTTTATTGATTAAAATATAATAGATGATAATATTATATATTTTAATATAGTTAATAAAAGAAATATATTTTCTCTTATAATTTACCTTTATTTTATATTTATATATGATATATAATATTATTTTTTTCATAAAAATCTTTTATGTTTTTTTATTTATTTATACATAAAAAAATATACTAGTATTTAATTTTTTTTTTTGCTTATTTATTTTAAATACGATTTTATACATATATAAATTAAAAAAAAGCATTTATATTAAAGTTTCAATATATTTTTAAAAATATAAATAAAAGCAAAAGGCCTGCTAAAATAAAATAAACAGCATTTTTTTTAAACCATAAATGATTTACAAGTTGTTTTCCTTTATTTCTATACTATTTAATTAAAAAAAAATTAAAAAAAAAATTAATTAAAAGTTACTTTTGCTGACTCTTCTCTTAATTAAAATGCTTTATCTTTCATTCCTATTTAAAAAAATAAATATTTAAAATAAAAATAAAATTTTACTATCTAATTAATTGTCTCTATTTAATAATAAATCAATATTTTAATGCATTATTTTATTCAATTCAGTAATATCATTTTTAAGCTTTTCTGTATTAGTAATTGATCTCTAATCTTAATATTCTTATTTTTTCTTTTTTATAAATCTGTCTATTAATTAATATTATGAAAAAAATAAATAAAAAAAATCAATATTATTAATTCCAATAAAAAAAAAATACCAAATTTAATAAATTTATAGCTTTCTTCTATTGTTGAAATTTTAGAAAAATAATCGATTCCACCTGTACTTCCATAATAATTTTTAATTTCCTTTAATTTAAATAATTATATTACATAAGTAAAACTTTAAATAATTTTACATCATTAAATCCACCTTAAATATCTTCCAAATACATCTTACAAAGTCTTACATCATAACTTTTACTTATTAATGCCATATATAATATACCTTCATTACAATGATAACTTTTTTTAAAAAAATAAATAAATAAATATAAATAAAAAAGGCGAATATATAAATATTTTTACTTTAACATATGGTTTCCCATTTCTATAACTTTAAATTCTTCGTTATTTTTAAAACTGTTTTCTGTTTTCATTAATTTTTTTATTGTTTGCTTTAAATCTAATGGAATTGAACCTGAATCTTCGCAATATTCGCATAATATTAAACCATCTTATGCCCTTGCTTTATTTTTAAATTATTAATAAATCTATTTTTTTTAATGTTTATTTTTATAAACCTACATATGTAGTGATTATTGTTTAATTCATATTTTTTTTTTATTTTTTATTTTAATTAATTAAATTATAATATAATATGTTGTTAATTATATATACTTTTATTTAATTTTATCTATTGAATACGTGTATAATTTTTAAGATATGATCTTAATGCAAAAATACAATTAATTATATTAGAATTTTTTTTAAAAAATATGAAGATTAAATTTCTTAATATAAAAATCTATATTAATAAATATTCTAAGCTTAATTAAAATACATAATTTATACTTAAAATAAATAAAATTATTTCTAAAAAATATTAAATATTATATATATTAATTTAAATATATAAAGAAAAAAATTGACTAAATATTTTAATTATTTCTATTAATTAATGTCTTATTAATAAAAGAGTAAAATATTTAAATAAGAAAAATAATATAAAAAAAATATATATATATTAATATTAATATATATATATATATATATATTATGCACAACAAAAATTTAAAGAAAATAAAAAATTTTATATTTTTATTTTTATTTTTTTAAAAAAAAAATAAAAATAAAAAAATATAATACTCACTAAAAAAAAAAAATCAAATAATATAAACTAAAAATAAATAAATATAAATGGATAGCAAAGATTAAGAAAATAAAATAGAAGATTGTATATAAATTTATAAAATTTAATTACTATTCTAATATTTATTATTTTACAACTTATTTAGAAGTTGATTAAAACTAAGAGTAATCTTCCGATTAAGTATTTTCATATCAAGCGCCTTGGGTAATATATGCTTTAGGATTTTCAACTAATCCAGAATATAATTATAGAATAGCAATAGCAAGCTTTTTAGAAGATATAGATAATTAAGTATTTTTTTGCAAAAAAAATATTGAATAATTTTATATTTTAAAATACAAATAAAAATACATAAAAAATAATTTAAAATTTAAAACAAAAAACAAAAAACAAAAAAACAGATCGAAATAGTTTAATTAAATCAAGAAAAAGGCGAATTTGAAAAAAAATGCAGTTTCGAACATAAATATCCTCCAACAAAACTTATATGGATACCCGATAAAGTACTAATATATAAAAATTATAAAAAAAATAAAAATTATAATATAAAAAAAAAAATAATAAAGAAAGGAAGTCATCCAGATATATTAGCTACTTCAGGAGAATATTTGAAAATTTGGCAAGTATAAAATAATGATAGCGTGATCTTAAAATGTGATTTAATAAATGTAAATTTATTTTTGTTTAAATAATATATATATATATATATATCAGTCTATTTTATATGATATATTATATACACAAAATCATGGTGTATATATTTATTTATTTAAAAAAAAAAAAAGTAAAATGAGTTTTCAGCCCCATTAACTTCTTTTGACTGGAACTTAGAAAGTTTAAATTTAATAGGAACAGCATCAATAGATACTACATGTACAATATGGGATATTGAGAAGTAAACAGTATTTACACAACTAATAGCTCATGATAAAGAAGTATATGACATTTCTTTTTCTTCTGATAAAAACTTATTCGCTTCTGTTGGTGCTGATGGAAGTGCTCGTCAATTCGATTTAAGAAATTTGGAACATTCTACAGTTTTGTATGAAACCGAAAATAATAATCCCCTTTTGAAATTAGCCTGGAATAGAAATGATCCACATTATATTGCTGTTATTGAAATGGATCAAAATTATGTGACTTTACTTGATACAAGAAATCCTCTATAACCTATTTGTAAATTTAATAATCATAAAGATTGTGTTAATGGACTAGCTTGGGCACCTTAATCAAGGTAATTTTTTATAAATTAATAATAATTAATAATATTATATATATAATAGTTCACATATATGTACTGTTGGAGATGATCATTAATCTTTGATTTGGGATTTAACTGAAATGAGACCTGATATGACAGGTATTTTTAAAATAAAATAAATATTTTATTATTATGTTATTTTTTTTAAAAAAGAACCTTTGTTGGAATATAGAGCTGATGGAGAAATAGCTAATTTGTCTTGGTCTTTGTTATAAAATGAATGGCTTGCTATATGTTTTAGATCATAATTATAAATTTTAAAAGTGTGATTATAATATAAATAAATTAATATAATTATATATAATATTTTTGTTTTTTTTTTTTTTTTTTAAAAAAAAAAAATAATAATAATATTTATTTAGTTTTTTTTGTATTTGTTTTTAAAAAAAAATAAATAGATTATTTGATAAATCAATTGATTATATTTTTCTTTTAGAAATTTGTTAATTAAAAATAAAAAAATTTATATGCTTTCAATAAAATATTATATAAATTTTTAATTGAATTATTTAATAAAACTTTTTTATTTTTAATACATATCAAAAAACATTTTAGTTTTTTTTAAAAAAAGACAATATCTTATACATATAAATTATTAAAAGAATTCATATTAATATTATTTTTATTTAAAATTATAAAAGTTTTACAAAAAATGTAATAAAAAACGTAATTTTTTTAAAAACAAAAAAAAAACTGTGAAAAAAAAAAAAAAAATTAAAAAATAAAATTAAAAAACAAAGATAAAATAAAAAAAAAAAATGAAAACATTAATATTTATACTATTATTTTTAATAAACTGTCTAATAAAAATTTAATCTAAAAAAAGCAATTAATTTATATTTAAAAATATAGAAACAAATCCAAAAATTTAATTAAAACGTGAAAATTCAATCGAGAAAAAAATTAAATTATTTAACTAAATAAAAGAATAACAAGCATATTCATTAAAATAATAATAATACACTTAACTAAAACTTGATTAAAATAAATAAATATATCGTGAATTTATATAAATAAATCAATTAAAAAAAACACAAAACTAATAATAAAAATACATACAAACAGGCTAAAACCGTCCTTAAACGAAATTATATAATCATCAAAATTTATTTTATACAGGAAAAATAAAAGTCGGCAAAATAAAAGACGGTAAAGAAGATTTAGAATACAATATGATATTTGATACTGGATCCACAGCTATTTTTCTTAATTCAATTTTGTGTTCTGATATAGGTTGTTAGAAAGGAAATTAATATAACTCTGAAAATTCTTTTACATATAAAAATGTGGACTTAGAAATTTACACATATTTCGGAAGTGGAGAATTAGGAGGAAAAATGGCTATTGATACAATTAGAATAGGAGACACTAAAATAGAAAAAGTAGAATTTTTTCAAATTAATAAAGAAGTTGGATAAGCTTTTGAATAAGTATATTTTATTTAAAAAAAATATATATATATATATATATATATATATATATTTTTATATATATTTATATAATTTTTATTTTATAGGGTGAATTTGACGGAATTATAGGTCTTTCGTATCCTGCTTTAGGTGGAGGATTGCTTACTATAGTTGATTATATGAAATAATAAGGTATTATAAGTGAAAAAGTGTTTAACTTTTATTTAAATCGAGAAGACGAATCTGATGAATCATTTCTTTCCTTTGGAAAAGTTGACAAAAAGCTTGTTGATGGGGAAATAAATTACCATAAAGTTTCGAATCCAATGTATTGGACAATATAAGCTGAAAATTTTCTTTTGGATGGTAATGATATTGGATTATGTAGTGATGACCATAAATGTAATCTTGTTATTGATTCAGGAACAAGTATTGTCACAGGACCGGAAGAAGATTTATTAATTTTATTTTAATATTTAAGTGACTCTGGGTATGATTGCAATGATATTAAGAAAATGCCTACTATAACGTACTAATAATACATATATTTTTTTAAAAAAACAAAAAATTAAAAAGGTTTGTTATTGATGGTTAATCTTATCATATTCATCCAGAAGAATATATCATTTCTTTTAATGGAATTTAATAATCACTTTATAAGCATGCGGATAATCCTACTGAGTGCACAGGTGGATTTATTCCAATGAACATTAAAGATCCTATTTGTAAATTTAAAATTAATTATGTTTTTTATAAATTTCTTTTATATAAAATATTTATATTATTAAATAATAACTTAATATTCATTTTTTTTAATTTTCAAAGTGGGAAATTTATGGATTATAGGAGATTTAATCATGAGTAAATTTTTAACTGTTTTTGATAGGGAAAATAATAGAATCGGATTCGGAAAACTTAAAAATTTAAATAAATAAATATATGAGGAAAATAATGGACATAATGCGCATTGATTAAATATTTATATAATTATTAATTTTATTTTATATTATTTATTAGTAAAATCGAATTTCTATATGTTATATTTATTATAAGGATTTTTTAAAAAAAATATTATGTTTAAAAAATATTTAAATATATATATGTATATATATATATATATATATATATATATATATTATTTTTATTTATTTATAAAATTATTATTATAAATTATATTTAATTTTTTTTTTTATTTTTAAAAATATATTACATTTACAATATATTATAATAAAATTAAATAAAAAAATTTTTTTTTTTTCTTTATTTCTTTAAATAATACTGTATAATAAAAATTTTATTTTCAATATAAGTAAAAATACAATAATTATTTATAATGTATTTTTTTATAAATATCGAATAACTTCTAAAAAATATCTTCTGAATAACTTTATAAACATAAAACTAAAAAAAAAACTTTATAAAAAACTTAAATAAATATATATATATATATATTTTTATAATAATAAAATATACATATAATAAAAAAAAATATGTAAATACACACCTAATCCTAAAGAGTAACCAAATTATTATTCGGTGAACAATTTCTCGAAAAATTCAATTAAACAAGTCTTTTATTAATTGGGGTAGGAGGAATCGGATGTGAAGTCTTAAAAAATCTATCCTAATTTAAATTTAAAGAGATCCATATATTAGATTTAGATACAATAGAAGTATCAAACCTTAACCGTTAATTTTTATTTAGGAAATCTCACCGAGGTCATTACAAATCAGAAGTAGCAAAACAAGTACTAGAATATCAAAAGCCCTTTATGAACTTAAAATCCCATACCAAAAACATCAAAGATGAATAATATGGTTTAAAATTCTTCTCTTAATTCAACTTAGTAATAATGGCTTTAGACAATCAAGAAACCCGTTCTTTTGTCAACAAATAATGCATGATTTTAGACATTCCTTTATTAGAAGCTGGTACTACAGGTTATAAAGGTCAAGCTTATATATTTAAGAGAGGACAAAGTAGATGTTATGACTGTTTTCCAAAAACTGAAAATAAATAAAGTTATCCAGCATGTACAATAAGGACTTTACCTGAAAAGCCTGTGCATTGCATTATTTGGGCTAAATATTTATTTAATGTAATTTTTAATGAAAAGATAGAAGAAAATGATGAATCTAATTTACTTTTGGATATTTAAAAAAGATTAGAAGATAATAAAGAAGATGAAAATGATAAAGAAAATGGAGAAAAACTTTTCGAATAGATTTTTTTGAATGATGTTTTGAAATAAAAAGAAGGTGAAGAAAAAGGAAAATTTTCGTATTTAAAAGCTTTGAATTTATAAGAAATGAAAAAAAAAAATCCAGAAGCTTTTTAAAAAAATCCATATATAGAAAAAAAAGATTTATAGTTTTTATAAAGTATCTAAAATGAGGAAATTTATGCAAGTATTTTTATCGCTTCTTTCGATATTTTAATGAAGTAAAAAAGGAAAAATTCATGTGTTATTTTCGAAAAAGATGACGATATTTGTATCAAATTCATTACTGCGGCTACTAATTTGAGATGTATAGTATTTAATTTGCCTTTGTAAACTTAATTTTAAGTCAAGGAAATTGCAGGAAATATAGTCCCAGCAATTGCTAGTACTAATTCAATTGTAAGTGCGATTTAAATTAGTGAGGCTATTAAATATTTTTAAAGGAAATTTTTTTAAAATGATTATTAGGATATTTAAAATAGAGAACTCTATATCTAAAATGAATCCGATATGAAGATTTTAGATACTAAATAAGGAAAAAGCAATGAAAATTGTCTATCTTGTAATGTTAATTTAATACCAGATATTGTATATTGTGATTTTAATAAAACTAATTTAGGATAATTTTTAGATAGGCTTTTTAATGAAAATGGAGAGTTGTAAAATTTTAGTATAAATTTTTGCCAGTTTATAATTTACGAAAACACGGATTTTTAAGAAGAGGAAGAAATCGAAAACAGAAAAATTTAAAAGGTAAAACCCCTTTTTTAAATTTTCAAAAACTTCGCGGACGCGAGAATTTCAATTATGAATGAAGATGATAATTAAATATTTTGTATTTGCCTTTTAGTACATATAGAAAATAGTTAAGAAATTACATTTAAAAAATAAAATAGAAATATGGATTCTTTGAAAATAAATTGGAAAAATATAGTTCAAAAAACATAAGAAGAAAAATAAAAAGAACCAGAAAAAGTATTATTTAAAAATAATGAAAATAATGGACTACTTGAAATTTTGGAATCAGAATCAGCTAGTGATTAAGATCTTATTTTTTGCGATAATAATAATGAAAATATTGAAAATAAAAGAAAAGAAAATTAAAATAAGAATGAGGATGATGAGGTAGAAGAAAAATTGTAAAAAAAAGTTAAAATATGAATTTAATATTTTTTTAACATGTTTATTAAAATATTTTATTTTAAATTAATATATTATAATATATATATTTTAAAAAATTAAAAAATATTTTTTTTTTAAATTAAAGAAATGATTATGTTATAATTTATAAGAAAAATAAAAAGAAAAAAAAAATATTATATATAAAAAATAAATATAATGTTATAAAAAAAGTAAAAAATATTAATGATAAAAATATAAAAAAATAAAAATATATATATTTATAGATATATAAAAATAGATATAAATATAAATATAAATATAAATATATATATATATATAAATTATATATATATAAATATATTACTATCTATATATTTATATATGATTTTTAATATCTATTTTTATATAATTATTTTTATATTTATTATTATTTAAATAATAATATATTTATATATTTTTATTTTATTTAAATTTATTAAAATTTTTTTAAATTAATAATGTTTTGGATCATTTTTAGTATATTTTTTGCAATTTTATTTTCTATATTTTTTTTGTTTCCTTCTTCAAATTAAACTAATGTATAAAACAATTCGAATGAAAATATTTAAAAACAAAATAATACAGCAGTTTCAAAATTAATAAATCCTGAATACACAAAATATTCGAATGTATTAAAAAATTTGAGTGAATAGAAATAAATTCAAATAAATTCTTTAAAAAAGAAGAAAGTAACAATTAATTTAAATAATTTGTTTAAAAATGATAATGAAATTTTGAATTTTAGTAATATGTTAGATAAATCAAGTTAGATTTTTAATTTTATTTTTGTTTATTCTACAGATAATTGGAACTATTTGACATAATTAACAATTTCTTAATTACAATAAAAATATAAATAATCTTAATTTATACATAGCAAAACTAATGAAGGCATATAATCTGTTCTAAGGCAATTGAATCCAAGAATTCATATAGATTGCAATGAATGTATAATTAAAAATATAAAATAACATTTAAATAAAATTGCTTATATTTAAGAATAGAAAGGATTGTGGGATAATCTAATAAATATATATAATTAAAAAGAAAACTTTTAACTTTTTGAAAATATATTTGAATGCATTAGCTATTTAAATAAAATTTAATGTTGAAGAAATATTATTAAGTTGATATTATATTTAAAAATAAAATTACATATTAAATAATGTGAAAAATTATTAAAATTAAATTATAAATAAAAAAATTTTATATATTTTTTTAAAAATAAATAAATGTTTTTTATTAAAATTAAAAATAAAAACTAATTTTTTTGTATAAGTAAATATATATATATTATAGATATATATAAGATATAAAAACAAATACATAATATATATAAAAAACTATAAAAATTATATATATATATATATATATATTTATATTTATATATATATATCTATTTATATATATATATATGCAAATCTAATATATTTATATAACTTTATTAATAATTATTATATTATTAGAATTATATCAATATTCAATATTCATATTATATAAATGCATAATCTAACATAATAAATTAAATTAGTACAAGAAAATATTTAAAATTCTTTAAAAATAAGTTAAAAATCTAAATGTTGTACTCTTGTAGCAGTTTCAAAAACAATGCCTATTTCATTAATACAATAAACCTATAATTTAGGTCTAAGACATTTTGGCGAAAATTATGTTGATGAATTCATTTAAAAATATTCTTAACTTCCATAAGATATAAAATGGCATTTTATTGGTCATTTATAAACAAACAAAGTCAAATAAATCATTTTGCCAAATTTATATGTTTTAGAAACACTAGATAGCATAAGGTTTACTTTATAAAACTAATAAATATTTTTTAAGAAGAGTTTTTATCTATATTATTTTATTAATATAGATTAGCTGATAAAGTCTAGAAAGTTTGTAAAACTGTAAATAGAGATTAATTAAATGTATTTGTTTAAGTGAAGACAAGTAATGAACAAAGTAAAATATATATTTTTTATTAAAATATTATTATTTATAGCAAAATACGGTGTTGATTAAGAAAATTCATATAAATTAATTGAATATATATTGAAAAATTGTAATAATTTAAAGTAAAAATATATATAAAATATTATATATGTATAAAAAAAAAATATATATATTTATATATATATATATATATATGTACATATTTTTATATATATAAATATATTTTTTTAATATTTTAAAGATTTTCTGGCATAATGACAATAGGAAAAGAAGGTGATATAAAAGCTTTTGAAGTTAAAACAAATTAAAAATATTTTTTTATAATAAAATTAATAAATAAATAGTAATTATATAATTTAAAATCATCAATTATACACAAATTTGGTAATTAATTTGGATTAATAGAAATTTCTATGGGAATGTCATCAGATTATTAAAAAGCAGTATATTAGTAAAATTAAAAGATTTTTTAATTAACATATTTTTTTTATATATATTTAATTAATAAAGATTGAATATGGATCAACTGAAGTTAGAATCGGCAGTAAAATTTTCGGATAAAGATATTATTCGAAATAATGATTCTTTTTATAAATAAAATAGTGTTTTTTTAATTTAATTTTATTTTTAAAATAAATATTTTTAATTATTTATATTTTTAGGAAAATAAAAAACATAATATATTTTATTTTATTTATATATATATATATATATAAATAAAAAAGATATATCCAGTAATATAATATATATAAAAATATGAAATTAATTAAATTATATATAAATCATGTTTCTTATATCTTATCTTATTCTTAATCTTCTGTAAATGATTTATGAATTTCATCTAAAATTTTAATATAATCGACTTTTTAGCAATTTTTTATCTATAAAAAATAATAATGCCTATATAATGTTTACAATATAGTATTTTTTTTACTTTTTAAACTTTTTATTAATTTTTTCTTTTTCATTTTAAATAATATTCTTATACATATTATCTTTAGAAGTATCTTAAATGACAAAATTTAACTTCAAATGATGTTTTTCAGGATGTTCTTTTAAAAATAAATTAAATTATTTTATTCGTCTTGCAAACATAAGTCTTTTATAAAATTTTTCTGTTCCTTTTTCTTCTCTTGTTTATTTATCTTCTTCTTTAATTTATTTATTATTTTTTATCATCTTCACTTCTTTTTTATTTTTGTTGTTTTCTTCTTCTTTAATTATATTTGATTCTTCTTTATTTATATTTTCTTTTTATTAATTTATATTTTCTTCTTCTTTTTTAGTTTAATTATATTCTTCTTTATTAATAGTTTTTTCTTATTTTTACTTTATTTTTATTAATCAATTTTTATTTTTGAATTCTATATATTTAATTTTTTATCTCTATAAATAATAATATTATATATATATTAATATATACTATTTTAGGTCTAAAAGAATAAGAAGGTTCTTGCTCTTTTAATTAATTTAATTTATTTTAATTTTTTTCTTAAATTAATTAAGACCATTCTTTATTTCTTTCATAAAAACTTTTACTAAGTAAATGTTTATTTTTAATTTTATAATATTTAGTCTCTAATTTAGGCTAAAAAGTGCAATTTTGTTTCATTTATTTGTTATTTTCTACTTATTATTGGTATTAAAGATCATTTAATTAATCTATTTATTATTAGAATTCTTAAAATAATCTATCATATGATTTTAAACATTATTTATTTTGTTTTTCTATTACTTAAAGCCTGTATTTATCAAATTTCTATTTCTATTTAATTTTTTTTTTATATATTTAAATTACTTTTTCAATAGAATTTGATTTATTTTTAAAAGAATAAGTTTATTATTCATCTTATTTATAGGTATTAAATTATTATTTAAAAAGTCCTCTAAAAACTTGATTTAATTATATTAAAATAAAAAAAAAATAGCAATTAAAAATTACTTGATGTAGTATAGGAAGGCTTTTTAGCAGAATTTTTGGTGAAATTTTTTATAGACATTTTTATATTTTTAATATTTATAAAATTTTTTATTCTTAATAAAATTTTAGTTTAAAAAATAGATATTTTTTTTTTTATAATTATAAAATAAAAAATTATTTATGTAAATAAAATAAAATATTATATATATTCAAAAATTAATTATATATAAAGAATCTTTATATAAGATTAATAAAAATAATATAAATATATACCTTTGTTTTTTAAAAAATTAATTTTAATCAAAAAGAAATTATAATATATAAATTATTATTAAAATTATATATTTTTTAATTTTATAATTTTTATTTATAATATATTAATTTAATTATTAATTATTTTTAAAGTATATTTTTAATATATTTTTTTAATTAATATTTTATAGGTACAATAATTAAAAATAAAAAAAGATTAATTAGAATATTTTATATATTTATTAAATAAACTAAATAAAAGTTAAAATTAATATAAAAAAAATTAATTTATAATTAATATATTTTTTTTATTTTATATCTTTTTTTTTTTTCTTTTCTTTTTTTCTTTATATTTTTTTTTTATATTTTATTTTATTTATGATTAATTTAAAAAAAATAAATTTTAAATTAATAAATAAATATATAATTTATTATATTTTATATTAAAATAAAAATATTAATTTTCTTATTATTATCTTAAAATATAATATAAGTTTAATTTTTAAATTAATAAAATAAGTTTATTTTTATTTATTTATATTATTTTTGTTTATAATAGTATATTTTTTTTTAATTTTTATTTTTACTAGATATTTGTTTATCTAATAATACGTACATAAATTAAATTAATTAAAATATACAAAGAAAAATATATATATATATATAAAAAGTTAAAAATAAATACTTAATATTAATAATGAAGCAATAAAAAATTTGGAAAAATATCCCTGTAAGATTGATAAATTTTACATCTAAAATAAAATATTTTTTAGAATACGAAAACTAAAATCTAAAAGAAAACCAAGACCTAGATTTTTATTTATAATTTCTTAAAATAGAAATAAATGTAAAAGAAAAAATTCAATATATG